TTGTCTTTTTGAAAATTTTTTCAATGTTTGTTTGGAAATGTGTGTGTTTGTTTTGAAAATAGAAAGGATATTTGTTTGAAAATAGAGCAAGTAACTAGGAGCAATTTACCTACTCAAATGTCTTTCTTGTGCATTCTCTATTCCTTTGACATTGTTGTCTTACCATTGATTTGGTAAACAACCCTATCTTTGGATGTAAACGGGACGGGCGTGGGTCATCGTATAACCATGATTAGCAATGTTGCAAAGTATCTTAGCATTTTTGAGGGACTAAGATCATTTTGTAAGGAAACTTTGAATAGCGTCATCGAGGGACTATGATCTTTTGATTTTGTTTGTTTTACCAAGATACTTTGCATGCGTAATATGGATATTTTTGTATAAGGCAACCAAGTGGAGAAACCCTAAGGGTGTTTGTGTGCAAAGTGTGTTTGATTGCATGCTTGATTTTTATCTTGAATTATGGTTTTCTATTTGATTTTATCTTGCATTTACATTTGAAAGCGATAAATTGCATAAATGTAAAGTCCTACCCTATTACAATATTTAGGGGGCGGGGGTACAAATTTATGAATGGGGATTGCAAATGAAAATGAAGCCCTAAATTACTATTACAACCATATTGAAATACATACAAGAAAATATTAAATGAACTTGTTTTGTTTTAAGAAAATATTTTGTTTTCTTTTTGTTTTAAGGAATAAAAAAAAGTGTGAATGAAAATATTTTTGGTGTTTTGCTGATTAATGAAAATGGAGAGTGCCAGCGAGAAAAATAAAGAAAAATAAAATAACAAGGGGAAGAAGAAAATAGGATCAGCGTGCTGCTGAAAGGAAGTTAGAGGTTCTGACCCTGGCGTGCTGCAGAACAGAAACCTGTTAGTGAAAATGTATAGATCAAAGGTTCTGACCCTGGCACGCTACAAAACAGAAACCTGTTAGTGAAAATGTATGAGGTCAGAGGTTCTGACCCTGCTGGGAACACAATAATTTTCAGAAGTTATGATATTACTGATAACAAAACAGGCTCCAGAAGCGCTAGTGCCAATCTCAGAACTTAGTCTCTCCCTATGCTAGTCAGAACATCTGCAATTTGGTTATTTCTCCACAAAACAGAAGACATGCCTAGGACAGTTTCAGCAGGTGTCATAGCGTTTCAGAAATCAGAACCAAAAATCAGAGGCAAGTTCTGAAACTGATTCATTCTCTACTTAAGCATACAGATGCGTGAAAATATCAGAACATGTACAACATCAGAAGCATGATATCTACATTGTGTTTCTGAGCATACAAATCTGGTGATGCTTAAGCAATGTGGTGAGGGTCAGCAAGTTCTTACCTTGCAACTGGAAGAAGTTCTGTGAACTGGAGTTAGCCTCAACTTTGAATGGATGGATGAAGGGTATATAGTAGTATGAATACAGAAGTTATGGCAGTTTCTAACATGTGGGTCAGAAACTGTATGGGTGTTTTTTTTAGTCAAGAAATATTTTGAGAACAAATGGAGTTTGAACGCAAGGGATCCAAAGTTAATGGTTTATATGCCGTGTTTACAGTTTTTGAAACTCTAGGAATTTTGGGCAGAGGTTCAAGAATTTTCTTTCTCAAAATTTTGATTTCTTTCCCAAATTTTTCTGTCTGGCCCCTTTTCAGTGATCAATGGTATTCTATTTATAGGCAAAGCTTTGTGGGTTTTAAAATGTCAAGTGGCGCCAATATCATGCATTAGATGCTGACTTACTCTTGAAGAAAGTTCAAAAAAAAATTGTGATGATTGACAGCTTTTAGCCTAGGTTGGGTTAGTAAGCGAGGATTAAGGAAAAGTGACACCCATGAGCGAAAAGTAGCGCATGAACCCATACCTAAATCTGTACAAAGGTTTTTTTATGCTACACGTGGAGAGACCCTTTGGACAAAGACTCAAAAGTGGTTGTGAGCATTAATGAGCATTAAATGGTGATGAGATTTGTCAAAATCAGAAATCTTGTAATATGAGATTTGCATCATTACTTAAATCTAAGTCAGAAATTCCATTTAGGACAAACATCCAACTTCTGATCTTCTCACTTTGCATCCTGTTGCCTCAGCAAGCTCTGAAGGATCCTCAGGCTTTCCAGTAAATTTCTTTGATTTGCCTCTGAAAACTCTGAACTTAGAGATTCTGCTTCAATGCAACACCCAATCTTCTGACCCTCTTACCTTCTAGTTCCAGCATGTTCTGAAGGAGCTTTCAGGCTTCATACTATATTTTATTTCCTTCTTTGCATTACTCTAGCAAACTCTGACTGAACTTGCGTAGATGCTGAAAAGCCAAGTTCTGACTAAAGATTATATGCTGAACCACGTTTACACCTTCTGACTGCTCCTGCCTGGAGGCTGGCTCAGAAGTTCTGAAGTGTCATATTTCTTAAATACTTTAGAAAAATTCTAAGTATTTAGAATTTAACTTTTCCAAGGTAAAATTTGACTTTTGAGCTTCTTGATGAAACAAACTTCATATTCCAACATGTCTTGATGAAATATGATTTTTGTGTTTTGATTTTGATCCAAAAACCAAAGTTTGACTTTTCAGCGTGCAAATGACCATTTTGCCCTTGTAAATGGCTTTCTTGGAAAGAAATGATAATTCAAGGCTTGGATTTGTTTAAGAGAAAACTTTGAGAATCCAGGGTGATTTCTTGAGAAATGAGAGGGAAAATTTTGGGGTACAACAGGCGCGTTCAACTGTAATAGCGTAGCTTTATTTGTTCCATATTTTTCTATTATGTAACTGCTCCTAGTATGTAATAGTTGTAGGTTTTTATTTTCCACACTTCTCTATTATGTTACTGCCCCAAAGCTCTGTAATAGCCTAGGTTTATATTTCCGCCTTTATCTTTTGCTACTATATTTACTGTATTACTGTTAGTAATTAGGGTTTGGATGGCAAGACTAAAAACAAATGCTAGAAAACCTAATTTCAAGATAAATAACTGAATCAAACACACTTGTCAGACTTATACCTCTAGGGTAGTCTCTCTTTGTTGCCTTTCAGAATAACGGCCATGTTCCTCGAATGTAGGGATGCTTTAGAAAAGACCCTTGAATAAAATACCATAAGTCCCTCGATGACCCTTCGACGTTGCCTACGAATAACATGATCTAGCCCCTTACGAAACTGCTAAAGCATCCTTACAAGTTGCCTTTGATGTATGATGACCCTATGCCTGTCCCTTCACCTCTAATAGATAGGGCTACCTACCAACTAAAGGAGTGGATAGCACTATCTCTAAAGGTGAAGGAAAATAACAAGAATGACCTTGAGTGGGTAGGATATTTTTAATCGCTTGCTCACAAATTTTTCTTAGGTATACTTTTCACACATCACTTTCAAAACAACGAATATTTTCAAAACACTTTGTACGCATTCTTGAGGACCGATACAAGAATCATTATAAAGTTCTCCTTACATTGGCTCTTCAAAATATTTTCAAAACACTTACACAAAAAAGTAAATTTCAAAAGTAAGCTAGCGAGTAAGAGCCTGTAGATAACTAGGGATGAAAAGGGTGCTAACACCTTCCCTTTTCATAACCTACTTTCCAAACTCAAAATCTTCAAGGTCTTTCCTGTTCTTTTCACCCTTTCCTTATTGGATAAAAGAAAAGTCGATGATGACTCTTACTAACCGCAACATTTGTGATAAAACGCTAAAAAAGTTAGTTCTCCCACCGTATTACACACAGGTTTGATCTCTAGTCTAATTTTTAAAACACTGCTTTATAGCATACAATAACGTTATTACGCAATGGTCTAAATCCTTAAGGGTTAAAAATTACATATACATCAAATCATATCTCATCATGTATATATTTATCTATAAAATTATATTAGGAAGAAAAAAATACTATCTATAATGTATCTAAGTTAAATTCTATTAAGTATTAGTAACAAACTTATGCAGGGGTATATAAGCGAACAATTATAGTTGTATAGTGAAAAGAAAAAACTGATCTCATCAAAAATAATTGTTAGATTACTTATTAGTTCTGAAGTGTACAGAAAATAATACCTTGAGTACCCATCTTCAGAGCTTCGTGGTTTTTCCCAAGTTGGTGTGCGTCTTGATCTCATTGAATGAGGATTTTGATGTACAGTCCCAGCAAAAGGTGAGTCATGGAAAGTTTCACTTGGATCATTCAAACATGGATAATCCTCCTTAGATAGTTGATTTATCGTGAGTTTTTTAATGAGTTCTTGAATATTCATCCACTCATCACATAAAAAGCTAAAAAACTTTTGAGGCTGAATCAATGTTGAATTAAAAATGTGAAGGTGCGAAAAGGATCAAAGAATGGGAGAATACCTCTGTGACCAATCTCAGCTAGTGAACATAATCTATTCCAGGAAATAGGGGTTGTCTTGTTACGATTACACCGACTATGCAACCGAAATACCATATATCAATGGCTATTATAAATTCTGAACAATTAAGAAGCAACTTAGGAGCTCGTTACAACCGAGTAACCACATACCCAGTCATGAAATCGGGTTCTTCTTATCCTTTGATTTGGTTCTTTTATCCTACCCGATTTTTGTTGTACTAACTTCAAAAATCAGCATCTTCAATTCATTCAGTTCTTGAGCCTCCACATCATTAAGATATTTACTACTATCCGTTATTAAGATACACTAATAAAGTTTTTTAAATCAACTACACCAACCAAAAATTGGACAAGAAGAATATGTTATCTACAAAAGTACATAAATAATAATACAAAACATGGGCATTAACAGACCATTCCATACTCTTGTATCTCAGCTAGCTTCAGCTACTTTCGTCTCTTCTTCTCTTCTTTGTTTGAGAGTTTTTGTTCCTTGGTACTTGGAAATGAAAACGACCTTTCTCTGATAGTATCACTCTCAGGCATCCTTGACACGTAGAATCATATGATCCAACAATTGATCTTGGCTATACTACTGACATGATGACACCGGTAATTATTTGAAAAATGGAAGTTACTAAATGTAATTGTTTACATAAGTGTCTAACATGAATCGAACACCAGACACGTCTTTAAACACAGAAGTGTCGGTGTTGAATAATTTTTTAAAGGAAGACAATAGAGAGAGAAGAATTACCAAGTCCAACCGAAATAGAAGTCGAGCTAAACTGCCAAAGGGAGAACAAGGTTTAAATTTCTCAAGTAATGTCTGCTCAAATGCCAAAGGATCTGACACTTTAGTATATTCTTCCTTGCCATCGTATATCATAAGAGCTGAAGCTAAAGCCCCTAATGAGTCGGCAGTTTGGGTAGGTGAGGAGCATGATTCAAGGCTTTTACTAAGGTTGGAGATGACATAAGACAATCCATCAGAGATGTTTGCAAGAGCACTAATAGAATTCTCATGTATTGCTTGATCATGCTCACGTTGCATGAACTCTTTGGAAGGAGCTATGGTAGCATTAATCAAAGAAGGAATGCCATTACAATTGGCTATCTCTTTCCTTGCATCTTGGCACTGTGCAAATAGAGATTTAATAGCACCTTCTGCTTTCGCTCTAACTGGGGCGTCATTATCAGGGCCTAAAAGTTTGAGGAGTTGTTTTGTTGCATCTGCTGTCAATAGCTTTGAGCAAAAAGATGCATCTTCCATCATCATAAAGGTAAGTAAAAAGCACACATTAGCTAAAGTGCTTGATTATCATGTTGTCAATAACTTCAGTAATATGTCCACTCCTCTAGACTATACTGTCGTATTCCATAATCAATCAGTACCACTATAAATGTTTTTCAATGCTCCAGTCAATAAATTATCTACTACACTTCCATCCTTTAGACCCTTTTGTTGTTGTTCCCAGAGCACTGGAACAACTCCTTCAATTGAAAAGATTTTTTATCCAACGTGATCATGGTACTTTGTAAAAATAAAGATCAGATTTATTATTCATTAAGATTGTGTGATAGTCAACTGTTTATCCAAAGATTGATTAATAAGACGAGTTTCTATGCTAAGACAACGCATGTTGGTTAATGGTTGGATGCAACCAGCCTGAAGTTATTTCTTTGATAGTTGCTATAGCTTCCACACCACCACCAACACCAAGATAATGCCCAATCATTGACTGAAAAAGATATAAACTATAATCATAAACTTCAAAATCAAATAGAGGAAGTTTTTAGAGTTCTAAAATATTTAAAAGTAAATCAATTTCGAACTATTCCTGCAAAAATATAGTTTTTGATGTCAAATTCATATATCATATATAGTACAACATTGTAATATTCAAAAGCCAAAAACAAATTATAGCTACAATATGATCCGTCAATTTAGGATGAAAAATGGTCTCCAATATATTCCATTGCCTCACATCAACTATATACATAACCAAAATCTATAATCACAATCAAACATAAACAATTAGAATAAGAAATAATTTAGGGTTTAAATGTAAAAAAGGGGATTACCGTGAATTTTACGTTCAATGTTTCGACAGTACTTCAACGATAGCCCGACTAATCAAATCTTCTACTCTCTTCTATTCCATTCGGGTTTGACGCATTTGTAATCCCTCTTTTTATCCCTTCACTCTTTAAATCAATGGAAGAACAATAGAACATCTCTGAATCTAAGGCCAATGACGATTTTCTGAGATGCTGGCGTCACTATTAGGGGGTGGTTTTTTGAAGTTTTTTTTGTAGCGGAATTTGAGAAACTGAGTCGTCCCACAAATATCCATCTTTCCAGCATAACCTTCATCCACAATTCCATCTGCCATCTCAAACCTTCACAGTCTCTCCTTAATTCCTCAACCCGAATCTCCATGAAACCTCAGTGCCTCAAACTTACACCATAATAACTTCATAGACCTTATAGCCCTCCTGATTTTTGCCTCATACCTCACGAACACAGAAATGCAGACGTAAATCCAACAACAACATGATATACACTCACACAATCACAGTGAAACAATAACAATTTTGCAATGACGTTCATACTCGAGCAAAGAAGAAGAAGACAAAGCTATAAAACATAATACACAAATCGCTTGACGCAATCCACAGAACCAGAATTCAAAAGATGATTCAGGAGAAGCAAAAGAAGAAGCAAAGTAGAATAAATTACCTGGGATTTCATCACCCGATAATAGTCAAATCGCTAATACTAAACTTCCATTTCTTATTCCTTTTTCATTAATTTGTAATGATGATACCCGAAGCGCTTGTTTAGCCTTATTCACGTGTTTAAATTTAGAACTGAAATCGAAAGTTTCGTTGAGTTTTTGGTTCTTCTGTCGCCTTATCTTGAGGATTGATATCCATGGTTCTTTTGCTGAAACAGAAACTAAACACACACCCTTCAACCTAAAACCCTTTGAGACGGAAGAGAGAGAGAGAGAGATGAAGAGGAAGAAGAAAGAAAATCATTTTGAGAAAAATCAAACGTTCCCTAAATACAAGTTATGAGGAAGTAACTGTTGTACAACATGGTCAGAAGAGGAAAAAAACGTCAGTTTTGAAATTGTGAGAAGAGGAAAAAGCGGTTGTTTTGGATAGGTTTGGATGAGCAACAAAAAGAAGGGATATGTTTAGAAAAAAAATTTGCTCACCACACAGAAAGCCACGTGTCGGCTTGGAAGTATTAGTAGAAAAAAGAGTTGATTTTCTAATGTTGTAGATAATGATAAACTTTTATAAATAACACAAGACTATAATATTTTTGACTCAAATATGATTTGAATAACGATAACCTTTATTCGTAGAGTTTTGGTGATAACAATATAATTAAGAACTTTTCATATTTGTTGGTGATTGACACTGGACTTGGTAGGGAGGACCATAATTCGATCCTAGCAACTACGATCGGAAAGGGGTTGGAACTACTTGATGCCAGAACTGACTCCCGAACTAGATTAGGTGATCTAGTGGGCCGGATATTGTTGGTGAAAAAAAGAAAGAAATAAATGATCATATGAAAAAGGAAATGATCATATATACTAGTGTCAACAAATTTGAATACCTATACCTCAAATCTAAATGATCATTTATACCTATACGAAGAATGAACATTTGTCCCTTGAAGAAAGAGAAAGATCACCTGCAAAGAATGATCATCAACACCCAAATTTTATCAATTGACATGTAAAATTTAAAAACAAAACTCAATCAGATAATTCATCAATAATTATTGTTTAATAGCAAATGACCATATTATTCTTCTCATTAAAAAAATTCAAAAGTATCAATATGATATTAGTCAACATTCTTTAATAATTTTCAATAACACACACACATATATATATATATATATATATATATATATATATATATATATATATATATATATATATATATATATATATATATATATATATATATATATGACATATCATGATTAATAATATAGAGATGAAGGAGAGATGAATGAGAGAAAGAGAAGAGATAAAGTAATCTTGTATTGTTATCTTCAAGTTCTATTAACATTACAACATAGATCATATTTATAGTACATCACCAATAACAATCATTAATTCAAGGAATACACAAAGTTCATGAAATTAATTCATATGAATTAAGGAATAAAGAAAGCAAGGGAAAATGAGCATCCACATATATTTAATATTACTCATAACACTCTCCATTGAATGTCTATTGAGGATATGTATCATTAGAACCTTACTATAAAAAAATACAGTGAAGAAAATGTAGTGAAGCAAAAAGAGTAGAGTATTCTTTGAATGTGTACTGTCTCGTTAAAAACCTTACCAGAAAAATTCAGTGGGACAAAACCATGGTGAAGGGAAAGAGTATATAATATATTTATTTCTCCCCCTCGTGAATACATTTATATGTGATACAATACTATTTGTAGTAGCTGCTTAAAATTTCTTCTTCGAAATGACTTCATGTAGTACTGACAATTATGCAAGATTTTATGAAGTTGTTGTCATGAGTTACTTCATAGATCTCCATGAAATGATTAGCAATATATTAAAAATCAATATAATAGTATCTCATGATTAAACACTTTAATCATACACATCCATATGAACATATTATCATATAATTATCAAAATCATACAAAATCATATTACTAAAATTATATCATCATATATATAATTAATTTGTTTTACTATCCTTCAAGGATGCTTGATAAGTTCTTTAAGAACTATATAAATAATTTATTTTGTTATCCTTTAGGGATGTTTGATAAGTTCTTCAAAAACTATATAATCATCCTTCTGGTATGCGTTAAAATTATTTGTGTCATTCTTTTAGAATGACAATTTTTATGAGCATATTACAAATTATAAACTTTTAGATCGATACAAAAAAAAAACTTTATAAAATCCTTCTGAAATATTTTAATATTATTCTTGCAATCTTTTTGAAATGCATTAAAATCACAATTGATATTATTCTTAGAGCTTCGTGCTAATAATATATTATGAAATTAATCAAAATAATATAGAGATAAAAGAGAGATGAATGAGAGAAAGAGAAGAGAGAAAATAATTTTATATTATTATCTTCAAATTCTATTAACATTACAACATGAAGCATATTTATATTACATGAGAAGTAATAATCATTCATTAAAAAAAATACACAAAGTTTAAGAATTAATTCATATAAGTTAAGGAATAAAAAAATCAAGAGAAAATGGGCGTCGACATCTATTTAATAGTCGTAACATATTTATTATTTATTTAATCTTAGTTATATTCTAAAATTCAATCATTATTGTGAGTTTATTGTTGTTATCTATCACAATAAATTGTTGGAGTGTGAAATCATTACTCTGTCAGCAACTATGGTCAGTTTCTTCTTAAGATTCGAGTTTGGTGTTCATAAGCTCATACACCTCATTTTCTTTTTTGCAATTTGATTTTGAGCTCGCATGTTGGTTTGTTGGACTGTGCAAGTAGTGTGCCATTGATTCCTCTGAATTGAGATTTCAAGTTTCTTAACCTTTCACGGGTCGTTGTATATTATTCTTATGAATTGTTTATTTTTATTTACTGAATTTAATTTAATTTTCCTGAATCTTGTGTACTCTTTTTTAATTATAATTCCTCGATGTTGGGGATTCATCTGCATCCTATTTGTTATATAAAAATTCAATAATTTAATTACTAAGTCTAAAGCATACATCATGTACTTAACAAGCTTCTTACTGGTCTATTATATAACTTGAGAAAACATATGATCATCACAAAAACCATAACACCACATTTTATTGTTTGCCACATACTCTATTATATATATTTTTTAATTTCTTCATTTTTTTATATAGTTATATTTGGTAATACACAACCATTTGTAAATTTTATTTATTTTTAATAATTTTTATGTTATTTTATTAAAGAAAAGTTAGTAAAAAGCGTTGCTATAGTTTATAAATGGAATAATTATTTGTTTTGGTCAATTAATTAAATTAATATTTTATTTTATAAAAAAGCGAACAATTAAATTAATTATTTTTTTAATATATATATTTATGACAAGTAAGTTATATGAAAATGTGAGAATGAATAAGAATTATTATATTTAAAAATGAAAGGTTGAGATTAAATTGTTATTTTCACTAAATCACGTGTCATTAAGAGAAAAGAAAAATCATCAATCAAATTTTAAAAATATCTATCAATCATAAAA